GGGAGAAGTGGTGGGGCTGAGCACCGGCAGGGGCGCGGGGAGCCGGGTGCGGGGAGCCAGCACGGGGCCCCTTCGGACCACCGACCTACCTGGGAAGCCAGCTGCCCGCTGCCGGAGAACACGGTGGTCAGACCCTTGCTCTGAGGCGTGGGCTTCAGACTCTTGCCAGCCTTGATCTCAGCCAGCAGCTCCGCGTTGTCACCGGTCGGGGTCATCATGTTGAAAGACTTGGTGCCTGGGGGAGGCAGGAGAGGAGGCGCTGGCAAGGGGTGGGGTGGGGGCCGGTGGGGACCTGCCCTTCTGCTGTCCCCTCCCCAAGTCAGGAGGCGATCGACCGGAGCCTCCCCTCGGGCCCAGAGGGCAGCATTCCAGATCCCAAGCCTGGCGGGTGGCTCAGCTCTCGGGATCCCAGAGCCGGATTCTTCGCTGGAAGTCCTGCACCCCCACCCTTCTCCCAGCCCTACTCACGCTGGGGTGTGGGGCCCCCACCTGGAGGCCCCTGGGAGTCCATGATGGCTCGTGGGCTGGCTCTGGGGACTTGAGTGAACGTCTCCACCCGGGCATTGACTGCTTAGTTCCCAAACACTACCTGGGACCAGCCCCCCGACCTTTGTCCCCCCGGTTCCCTGGCTCCACTGGCCAGGGTGGAGTCTGCCTCCGGCCCTCTCTGCATCAGCAAAGCCCAGTGACCCTTGGACTGAGTCGCCTGAGCCTCTCTGGCCATTCGGACTAGGAACCCTGGATACCACAGCCCAGCCAGCCCCGCCCCCAAACCCACAGACAGACGCGTGCAGACACACTGGGTGCAAGCCCGGAGCACACTTATGGCAAAGCGCTTCTCAGCTCTCTCAGCTCTGGGGACCCGGGACAGCGGAGCCCTTCCCTAGGACACGGAGTGTGCCGCCCGGAAGGAGGGCCAGGCGGGGAGCATGCAAATGCCCTGCGGGAGTTTGCATGTTCCACAAGGCCAGCGGAGGTGACTGGGGTTGGGGAGGGCTGACTTCAGAGCCCAAGGATGGGGTCTGGGCTGGGTGAGGGGGACAGGCCAGCAGCTCCTGGCTTCCCTCGGCGGTGGGTCCCAGAGCACAGTGTGGGCAGGAGGTAAAAGGGAAAGGTATGGGGCCAGCCCCATCAGCCAGGCCAAGAATTTGTATGTGGGCGAGGTGGGGGGAAGGGGGCAGGTGGAGGGCAGAGGCCCCGCCTGTGGCATTGAGGACCCTCACTCTGCCCGTTCTTCAAGTCCCTCGTCCCTGGGGCCTTGCTTTCCCTGAGCGTTTGCTTTGTCCCCCAACCCCGCGCCTTAGCGGGAGCGAGCGTGAACGCAGCTACTCACTCTTCCTGTGCCTCAGGACTCTCACTTCTAGAGACCGAGAGGAGAGAAGTGACAGTGGAGTTAGAAGAGGGAGGGGCTGGGATGAGGCTGGGAGAGCAGGGACAGCGAGAGAGGTGCAGGAGGGGCGGGCAGGAGCCCGGAAGGGAGATGTGCAGAGGAGGGGTGAGGGGAGGAGAACTTTGAAGCCCATTGGACCCTGACTCGGGCTGCCCTGGGCCCACAAGGGTGGTCTGATCCGTGGCCAGCTTTGCTGGGGCCCCAGCCCTGGTCCCCTAGCAAGGGCCTCCGTCCTGGCACTGGGCTGGAATAGGTCTACCCTCTCCTCCTAGCCGCAGGCCTGCTCCAGGTTGCAGATGGGGAACTGACCTTGAGCTGGCGTCTGCAGGGTCTGGGGCTCCCTAGGAACCCCAGGCAATACAGGGGACCCTCCTGTGCCCTTGAATCCTAGTCAGGGAGAGGAAGCTTTGGGAGGCGCCCTGATGGTCCCTGCCCTGTGAGGCTGGGCTGGGCCCGCCTCCGGCCTCCCAGCAGCCCGGTGAGCAGGAGACTGCCCCACACTACAGAAGAGAACGCCACCGTCTAGCTCTTACAAAAGGATGCCCAAGAGTCACCAGCAGGGACAGGCATGCGGGGTCACTGGCCTTGTCCCCATAGCCAGGCCTCGCAGGCTGGGGAGAGTCTGTGCTGCCCTGGGCAGGGCTCAGGGCTGGAGCTCGCTTGGGAGACCCCGAGAAGGGGGCTAGGAGAGACTCAGGACCGAGGGGGGGGGGCGGCAGGGGGCCGCAGCTCTGCCTCCTTGAAGTCAGTTCTGTTTGTCAGAGCTCCCCTCTAGCTCCGGATCACCGGAGGCAGCCGCCACCAGACCCTGCGGCCTCCCCACCGGATGGGAGGCAGGCCCAGAGAGGGACGGAGACTTGCCCCAGGTCACACAGCCCAGGCCTGCGCGGCAGAGCCTTCCCCGAGGGGAGGGGCTGCAGGAAGAGCAGTAGGAAAAGAAGGGGCGCTGGGGCAGTCCCAGCAGGGAGGGGGCGTTGTCTAGGTCTCTCCCCCCCGCTTCCGGGCCAGC